GAATGATGTCCCTCGGATCCTCGATTTCTCTCTAAAGTCCTTAGAATAACTCCCCTTATCCATCATAAACATCCCCGTTCGATACCAGGTGTATAAAAAAAAAATCCGATTTTAATTAAAATCGAGAATTAATTAAACAATCAGTATACAATATAAAAATAAATTTATAGACCATAAGTGTATTAATACATGATCTAATTAAATATCAATAGGTTATTATTACTTTAAAATATAGATTTCTCTAAATGTGTGGTTCAATTCAATTTTTAAAAATTTAATTATACAATGATTATTCAATTTTTGTTAATAATTACAAAGTTAGTTATTTCAGTTTATTTTTTTTTACTGAACTTTTTCATAAATTCACGATTTCTGAAATAGAAAGAAAATTTCAAGATCTATTAAGGGTATTTTCATTAGATCTCAAATTATTCTTTTTTTTCTATTTAACTTAGTAGAAATTAACTTACGACGGGAGAAATCAGCAATTTCAATGAAACTTTTTTTTTTTGATGAATATTAGTTCGAAAAATATTAGACCCATTTTCGAGGATTCTTGCCAATTAGGCATAGGAACCGAAAAAAAAATTATTATATTTCTGAACAAAATTTATGTTATTAATTTTTGTCTTTGCTCTCTCCGGATTCTTAGGATATTATATACCAATCGATTACATTTTTTGTGCAGAATAAGAAAAAATATTGATAATAGTATTGAATAAGTTATTAACTATCTAGAGTCATTAAATAACAAAAACTAAAATGGGCTTCCGCTAAAGTAGGTCATGTAAAATTTTTCTAAAAATAGGTTACATTCGTTTTTTGAGTTCTTTAAGACTCATAGATACGAATTTTTATAGATATCCAAAATTGCAAATTTTAATACTTGATTTTCTAGTGCTTCGTCAACTAAAGCACGCATAACTCAAGATTTTATTAAAATTCAATGTACAACTGTTGAGAAGCTGATTTGCCGACACATCAATTGGTTTTGGAATTAATTTCTTTTTAAGCTAGAAATTTAAAAACACTGCTCAAGCATTTTTATTTTATGCTCCTGGTTCTAGTTTATTTACGGATGTTCCAATTATACAATTTTGTATTGCATACAGAGTCCTAACTTTCTAATAATTTTCGCATGATTCAGTGGAGACGTTCGGAACTAGAAAAAATTATCGTGCGAAAATTTTTAATATTTCGACTGCTATGACCATTCGTATTTCAGAATTTATCGGGGTGTTAGAAACGAATATCAACTTTGTTTCTCCCTTAAAAATATATTTACCCCCACATAGCCTCCTCGGTAGGTCAAATTTATTCCCATACAAATTTTTTACCAAACAATATTTTTTCTACACCGGTCAGGTATCTTGAGTAAAGAATTTTTTTGGAAGAAATAAAGTTGATATTCACTTTTCGCATCCCAAAAAACTCTAAAATTTAAATTTTAAGTGAATTTTAAATAAAAAGGCTGGACCTTTCGAAATTTTGTCAAAAAAAAATGAAATGAAATGGGTTAACTTCGAAACATCTCCAACGAATCACACCAAAATTATTTGAGACTTAGTGCTATGTATGGTACAGAAAATAGTACAGCGGCGACCTAAGTAAACAAATTAGAACTAAAGAAATTCAATCTTTAAAAGAAATTTCAAATTCAAAAATTCCATGATATTTTATTTAATATTAGAATTAAAAAACCGCCTGATATGGTTTGGAAGAGGGGCAACTCAACTTTCCAACTGTTGTATTAACATTAAATTATATTAATATTAAATTATTTGGATAAAATCCTGAGAATTTATGTATCTTTTAGCTGACGGCCGGAAAAAACAAGTGCTCTAGAAAATTCAGTACTAAAATTTTCAATTTTTGATATCCTTAAAAATTCTTGGTTGACAAATATTCTGGACGCAGCCATTATAAAAAAAATTTATTTGTGCCGACGTTTCAACCCGAACATGTATGTCATCATTAGGGCTGACAATATTAAAATAGAATTAGAGATATAATATTATACCATCGATAATGGTAAATAATAAACTATAGTAATTGATGGTATATTAACCTTAACTATTATTACAATACATAATATTAATATTAATATTACGTATACAAATAACAAATTTTTATAATGACTGCGTCCTGAATATTTATCACCCATGATATGTAGAACAGTCGACTAGCTTACTTCCATAAAAATTCTTGTTTATAAGTTTTAAAGAACGTTACTTTCTTCTTCATAGCAAAAATTTGCATGGTCTTCTTTATTGGATGTCATTTTTAGTTTTTGTTGTTTAAGATACTTAATTACTCATTCAATACTATAGTCAATATTTTTTTCTTATTCTGCACCAAAAAAGCAATCGATCGGTACAAACCTAAAAATCCGGGTCAAAACCAAGGTAAAAACTAAGAACATAAATTTTGTTCGAAATTATATATTTTTTAAATTTTCTCGATTTCTAGGGCGTATTTGCTAGAATCCTCGGACATGGGTCTAATATTTTTCGATCTAATAAAAAAAAAAAAAAAGGTTTAATTTAAATCAGTGACCCCACTTCCGTTGTTAGTATAATATGCTGTTGTTTTTTTTTCTCTCTGTTTATCCAAATATTTTCATGTGTTGATTCTATTCAACTCTAACAAACATTTATTTCTTTTTAGTTTATCCTTTAACGTTAATTAATCTAGAGAGCTGGTTAAGCAGGACTCTATTGTATCTACGAATAGTTTCTGATTTATTTAAAAATCGAAGGATAAATCGAAAAACAATTCATTAGAGAAATTAGTAAAAAATGTTTAAATAATTATTTTCTTGTCGAAATATCATTTAATTTATTTTTTGAATGATTAGTAATCAAAAATAAATTTATTCGTATTAAAAATGAATAATTTATCTTAATAATTTGGAATTATGAAATTTTTTTACACCAAATTCATCGATTATTTGTTATTTTTTTAAACCTTCCAACATAAATCCTTACTCTGTGATAACATAAACAACAAGCTATTACTTGTTAGGTATTTTTAATTACAATATTTACACTTTTGCAGTAGCGAATCCAGAAATTTTGGGCAGGGGCCTCAGCCAGAAAGCTTTTTATGTAGGTATATATAACGATGTATAACAAGGTATATATAATAATTATTATTTGAGAAGAAAAATAAACTAACTACGTATAAGAAATGGTGTTTAAGTGATTCTTGAAATTCTATTAAAAATGTATTTACACGAATATTAATACTTTTAGAGATAAAAGTCATGAATATATTTAGTAGCTGTATTTGGATTATGATTTAAAAATATAACACATTTTTATTGTTTTAGTATTTAGCTTAGAGTATTGAAGGTAACAAATATGGACCGATAACAGGTTTATATATATATATAAATTCAAAATTCTCACCAGGGTAAACCAAAGATACATAACAGTATCATATTACGTAAATATTTAAGCATCTACCTGCTATTTGATTATTCTAATACATTAATAGGTAAAAAATAAAGATAGTGACTTCATCCTATGTATTTAAAGTAGAATTTAAAACTGAGACTCTAATTTTAATTTAGATTTGGACTCATTTTATTTTGTAAAACAGATACAAAATATTTGCGTTGGCCGTGAACATTAGATAAAAATCGTTACATTTTCAAGATAATGTTCCAATATGCCTAGTTTAATTTTAACATTTTTAAAAATTAAATTTAAACGGTGAAAATTTTCCTTTTTCTATTCAAACCTTCATCTTAAAAGTTTGATTTAATTTTGAAGCTAATTTTATATTTAAATGTTATTATTTAATCTAAACTTAAAGAACGAAAATGATTTTCGAATAATTTTAAATTATCAAGGAATAGATCTTTGATTTGTATTTTATCAGTTTTTCATAATAACCGATCATTCCTTTGTTATTATTTTCGTTATGTGTACTAAATTGGTAGAGGAAAATTAGATTCATTCTCATTTTTTTTTATTAATAGAAATGTCTTGCGTACATGATTACATTACAAATCATCAAATTAAAAATTTTTGAAATCTTCACATAGATGAAATGATATAGTTTTCGAAGATCAAATACAATCTTGCTGGATACTTAATGTTGTGCCATACTAATGGTGTATTCATTTCATCGATGTTTATACTTTGATGTTAAATGGTGTAATAAAAAAAATGAAAAAAAAATGCATAAATTGTGTTTACACTCCTATTATCACCAAAATTAGCAATATTTATAATAAATAGAGAGACTGCTGCGACTTCATTTAAAGTTGTCACAAAGCCCGAAGAGTTGAGTACCACTGATCTAGACTGCATTGAGTCATAGAATTCAAGAGCTGGTCTAATCACTCCAATCTGTGATTCGTTTAAAATGACCTTGCTACGTGCAGTAACACAGTTAACGTCTAAAATATTCTTGATATCATAAAGCTATCACATTTGATAATGCTCTTGTTACCTAATAATAAAAGAAATGTACCTAAGTCACTTCATATAGCATTTTCTAAATTAAACTTTATTTTTTTGTACTTATTTAATATGTTATTCAAAGACATGTAAATTTTAGTTAGCTATAGTTTACTATTTAATTAATTCACTAAGTATTCTCCTATGTGGGAGTAATAATTATTTGGATCCATTTTGTTTTTTTAAATTCATAGAATTTATTCTATTTTATAAAAATTAACATTGTTGATATTAAATAGTGGTATGTTTTTAGTACATGTTTATTTATTCCTTGCTAACAAAAAAAAAATTAAAATAAATCTACTCATATAATAATTTATTAATCAATGAATAATTTTAAAAAGTTCGACATAATCAATAATATTAAATAGAGTGCTACTCATTTTTTAAATATACTGAAATTATACAGTTTTATATATTTACAGAATTTCCATGATTGATATAAATTCTAGTCGACAATATTAGTGTGTGAACCAATATCATAAAACAGTATAACTTACCTTGGCTTTTTAATTAAGAGTAAAGGGTTGTTTTAGTTTATAAATAAATAAATACTAAGTTTAAAGAAAGGACCAAGATCCAATCTATTTATTAGACTTTACATCTGTACATCATTCAAGTAAAATACAAAAAAGATCGAAAATCTTTTTCTGTCCCTTTTCGTTAATACTTGGTAACAGAATGGTAACTTGTCAACTGATATATTCTCTATAAAGACAAACATTATAAAAAAACAACAAAAAATGAAAAAATATGGGTTTCTTTATGTTTTGATTTTTACAGGAATCATTTTATAGGTGTCTTATAGATATGAAACATTTCACAAATTTTTTTCGATTATTAGTAAAAAATATAATTAGCTACAGGATCTTATTTACATATTTACTAAAACTATTGCATTACTTAACATAGGAGTTTTATGATGAAGAAAATTTGAATTTATAAAGACTGCCTTAGTTAAAAATGACAATGGAATGACACCAAAGAATTCATGAGTATGTTGTAATTTCATTGACCCGTTTTGTATTTTGTTTATTTTAAGACTCAATAGGAATACAAACGCTTTGTGTCGACAATAACATTCGTACTTCCTGGGACAATGAAACGTCAAACAATTTGCTAACTTTTTGAAACATTAATTAGTGGAATATAAATATATTCTCCAAATATCATTATTGCATACAGGAATATTCTACTTGGCACTGAGAATTATATTTATCAAAATTCAACTTCTCTTGGCACGAGCCAATAATTACAGACAAAATGAGATTTATTCAATTCCCGTTTTCAGTGTATATATTACATCAAGAGAACCTCTTAAGAATAAACTTAGGAATTAACTTCGTAAAAAATTCACATTATCATAATATTAATTCTAACATAAAAATCTTATTGCAATTAGTTTCTTTTGTACTGAAATTATATCATCGCCCCTACCGAGTAGAGTTGACATACATGATATGATAAATTTTAATACCTTTCAACATTTAAATTTCTTACCAATACATCTACATTAACGACTATATAGTAATAAAATATTTAACCTCTGAGTTCAGCTTTATTTTACAATTGCAGAAAGACTATTAACCGTAAATACATGACAATGTTTTAGGCTCGTCATATACTGCTTGGGGCATTTAAACATTTACATAAACAATAAAAAAGGTGGGAAAGTTTTTATATGTACATACCAAAGGGTTGCTGAAATAACCACGTTTAAACAATACTCCCAAAGATAACACGAATAAGCTAAGAGACTGATAATAGAATCAAGCTAATAAGTGATACCTAGAGACTTGAGTAAAGATGGATGCCGCCCTGTTCCCTACCTCTGTCACATGTAAACCTCCTGGGCCGGGGCTTCTTGGATCCTCTCCCTCTTCCGCAGCATGTCCATCTCCCGCAGCCTCTGCTTGTAGACATCCCTCTCCTGCTTCATGTAGTCTCTCTCTTGTTTGTACACTTCCAGCTCCTGGTTCACCCTCGCCAGCTCATTTTTTAACCTGTGAAGTTCTCCCTGAAGTTCTCTATTCATCATTTCCAACTCTAGCCTTTGATGAACTCTTTTGCTGCGACAATTGTGGGCATATCCTCGATTCTTGAGCGTTCTCCTCTTTTGTTTCAACTTGACCACCGTTTCTCTGGGATAGCCCTGTAATCTTTTGTTTAGATCTCTGACCGATAAGCCCATGAGTTCATTGTCGCTAATGATATCGTCGGGACTGGCTGAGTCGGAGGATCCGTCGGGAACCCTAGCCACTGAAAGAGGTGCTTCATCACCGACGTGATGATGGTGGTGGTGGTGGTGATGGTGGTAGTCGTCGGTGTGGTTGATTGGAAGAGCACATTTCACGCTCGACCATTCCTCGGCAAGATCCGGTCCACAATGAGGCCTCAAATCGAGAGGCTGAGGTTGTGGAATCCAAAGGACATCATCGACCATTCCCCTGTTCTGGGGATGAGGATGGTGTTCGATATGATAGCTCCTACCTGCTGGAGAATGTGGAGAGTTGCTCTCTGGAGGTGTGTCGGGTGGAGTCCCTGGTGTGTCCGGATACATGAGAGTTCCTCCTTGGTGTATCAACATACTGTGGTGAGATGGCATCGTGATGACCCCATATTCTTCGGGCTGAGCCCCCGGAGGTGTAAGAAGATGATGAGGAGGTGACTGTCCCATAGCGACAACGCCGCCGCCACATGACAAAGACATTGACGGTAATCTTTGGATATCCACGGCTTCTTTTTTTACTGGAACATCTTCTAGGTGACCGATATCGAAATCTTGTAAGTATTGTGCAGCAAGGTGAGTGTCCTCCTGTTCCATGTTATGTCAAGATACTATAGTGTTAAAACTAAGTTCACATAATGCACCGCACGCCACACATAAAACACAAAAAGTGACCTACACGTACCGATAGGGTGATATGAACACTGTGACTGACTGAAACAGACTCCTGCGCTGTTGGCCGCTAGCCTGGATTTTGTTGGCCTGCCTGCGGTGGGCGTGGCCGGGGCGCTCTGATTGGTCGGCCCCTGAGTGGGTGGTCTCAACCCCAACCCCCTCTCCCTTCATTTACATGACTCCTATTACTGCCTCCGTCCGCCTCCCCATCCAGCTAAAACACTTTGCTAAGTGGTGCTCCCGCTACCAGTATTTGTAGGCTACTTCTTACAGATAATTCTTACTACTTTTACTTTTTCCTTTTAATATCTGTGGGAAGAAATAAAAAACATTTCATAAATATTATTAAATGTCCTAAAATAAAAAAAGAGAAGAGTTAGCACGGATTTGAATTATCAATTAAAAACATTAAAATATGCTTTAAATATTTATTATTTATTATTAATACTTCAAAAATGTATCAGTCTTAAGTGAATAATGTTATTCTAAGAACGTGAAACCATTTAAAATTTTTATTTATTAAAAATAATTGTATTAAATTGCATTATCAATTTCTGGACCAATCTTTGATGAAGTTGTACTGACTGAATTTTGAAAAGGTTTAACTACACCTACTTCTTCAAAAACTTATGTTTTCATAACTTCATTAATTATCACAAGATCATAATTTAAATCATTATATTAATTTATTTTTTTAAATATAAACTTTATGTACATATTGATTTGTTTACATTGCATATATAGATGTAATCTTAGCGCTGATATAAGAAAATTGCTCATGCACTTTTAAACAAGAGTAAAACTTTTCTGCTTCTTACCGACAAATGTGTGCAAAGGAGTTATTAATAACTATTTTGTTATTATAACTCTTTATTATTAATTAAATGATATTTTAAAATAAATAAATATATTACCAACGAACATAAATAATCTAAACAATTAATGTTAACAAAAATTATTTACATAAAAATGTCAGAAATTAATAATTAGAAATAATTATCAAATTCTTTCTGATATACCGTTAGTAAAGCCTTATTTCTATAACCGCGATCATAACTAAAAAAGATTGATGTTATGAAAAAAGTAGTTTATGCAATTATTGTGGACCAAATTTATATTCAGGTGTTTAATATTTTTTACTAAGCTGATAATTTAATAACTGACTTTAATACCGCGTGTGAAATTAAAATAATGTAAATTTTTATGTTTGTTTAAAATATCTAAATGAATAGATAATAATAAAAATATGTTTTATATAAACCATCGAAGACTATAAATAAATGCTTTAGTTTGTACATTTCTTCTTTCTCCCTATCTGTCTATAGATAAGGACGAAGTTTTGTTCTTTTTTTTTTTTCTCCTTGCTTATCTCGGAATCCGTTTAAATTTTAAACTAAAGCTGAAAGTCTAGCTATGAGCTTTGATTAAATTCGGATTAGAAATATTATTTTGTTTTATCTGGCATGACGATTTAAAGAAAATATGGATAATTGTAAATAAAAAAGGAAAATATTAAAGTGTAAAAAAATAGAAATGATTTTCATTGAAGTGAATTATAACTTCTAAATTTTCATGTACATTTTAATTAAAAATACAGAATTATTTTCCAATAATTTATTTATTTAGTGTATAATTCGTTGTGTCTGATTAGAAGACGGCTTACAGTACAGCCGTGAGAATTTTCAATTCCTCCAAGTAGCTGCCACAAAATAGTAAGCAATGAAATTTGTGGAAAAATAACTTGTAAAAAAACACTATATATCCATCAATGTAAAAATAACTTATTAAATTAAATAAAAAACAATTAATTGAGTACCGGACCTAAAACTTAAATTGCAGAAAAGTTTCTGAAGTTGGGTTTTGCAACTCCGAAACACTAAAAAAATTAGGGTTTAGTGTTGCCCAAACGCAACACCAAGACCAGACTGAGGCGGTCTTGGTCTTGGACATGGTCTTGTGCACTTAGTCTTGGTTTTGGTTTTGGCCCAAATGCGAGACCGAAACGCGTCTTGGTTTTGGTCTTGGTCTTGCCCAAGAGTCTCGCAAAAGTCTTGCAGTTAACTGCAGCTTATTGCTATTTATTAATATGCTACTATAAATCGTGGAAAAACTCTACAAAATAACTTCATTTAGATATTTTATCGACATAAACATTGTAAAGTACAACTAAATCAATAAAATTGAGAATAAAGAAAGATAGTGATAACCCTCCTCCATCCCTCCGATTAAATCGAATGAAAGGGTTGTAGTGTAAAGACAATTTATATATTGTTTTCAATGATTTTAATTAAAAATCTATTGTGTCCACTTACAATACTTTTCTATATATTTAAAAAAATACAACTTTGAATGTGTCTATTAGAAAAAAAAACAATTGAAATAGATTCATTTTTCTAAAAACCGATCAGTGAAATCATTAGGATATGATTCTTTGGACGAAACAATCAATGTAATCGGGCAAATGAACGACCATTAAAATCAGCGTATAAAAAACAATATACACTACAACACCTAAAACTGGTCCGATTCAGATGATTTTTTGTCAAAAATTTTATAAGAAATTTAATGACCTTCCACAAAATAGACTTCAAAACAGGCTCAGAAACGTTTAGATTCGTTGAAAACCGATAGGTGTATACGTGGTGAGTTAGCTCCCCAAAACAATTTTCTATTCATTAAACTTTTTTTTTGAATTGTCTCGAGAGTTCACTAAAAATACGAAAATTTAGAAGACTTTAAGCAGAAAATTAGAAGAAAGTTTCATTAAAATTGTTATAACCGTATAATGTTTATGTGTAACTTCATAAAGCCTAAATACATATGTGTATATAATTAATTGATTAATGTTTTTAGCACATAAGTTAGATTCCCACATAAAATTCATAAAAGCCTTTATTAGTAGTTAGATACTTAGAGGTTATTTTTTGGACCCTTAGAGATAATGTAAAAGTGCCGTCCTTCACGGTCTTTAGTTTTCTATTTAGATTTTGATTGAAAAGTTTCTTCATAACGGACTGCACACAGTGGTACCAAATGGATATAACACGTTTTATGTTCTTTTCTGGACTAAAGCTACCAATTCCCAATCTGGTCTAAGCTATCCACGGCCGGATTTTCTTGTTGTTGAATTTAATTAAAGTATTGAAAAATGAGCACAATATAGCCTTAATTTCACTAACCAATGATTTCAGTTTTCACAGAATTATTATAAAATCTTTATTAGTGTTCACTAAAATCCTTTTCCGCTTTTTAGAGCATAGAAATACGAAAAAAACAACATTTATTTTGCTCATCGGGAACCATGTCACATTTTAGCTAATTATGGAAGTTCCTTCCATGGTAATTCTGTGCATTCCCTCCACTGCAAATTTTTAGATTCCATCCATTCTTTGAAAATTGTTCGAAAACCTTCATCGAGATGTCTATATCAATAATTAACAAACAATAGTTGCCACCGTTGACTTGAGGCCCTTTGTAATTATTATTTGTTGACGTTTATCAGTACCTGTTACTCGGAGATAAACTTAAATTATTAATTATATAATTAGATTATTAGTAAATTATAATACCTATTATGACAAGAATAACAATAAACGTCAATCTTTTGTCATAAGTTATACATCAATAAAAATAAAATACAAAATGAAAGATAAAAAATTGGTAGGCTGTACAGTAAAAAAGTATAAGAATTATAAGGAAAATAAAGAACAATTCTTGGACGAGAATTAATCGGTATGAGTCAACAAAAGAGTTTAAAAAATAAGCTTAGATAAAATAATGTGATGCTGAATTTTATGTTGAAGTTCTGAATCCTGTTTCATGTACAAGTATAAAAAAAAAAAGATATCTCACGTTATCAACCACACTATAATTTATTTTTGTATTTTCATATATTATTTCTGATAATACATTCATTTCTAACACAATAGTTTTGCTATAAAACGAAGAAACAAGGAAATCTGATTAAAAATAACGGATTTACAGAATTATAGCCAAAAATATTCACTTAGGAATCACTGAACGGAAATTGTGGAGCTCATATTCTGAGAACATTAATTAGCTTATTTTCGATTTCCAGTCCACTTCTTTTAAGGAGAAGTTTCATTATAGTATCAAAAATGGGCTAGTATTAGTGACCATTTAGTCTTAATTTTTATTAATGAAAACGCGGTTTTTGTTTTGTTTTCTTATCTTGCTCCAGTCCTGGCAAATGATTAATTTTTAGGGGCAGGGTGGCCGAGCGGACTAACGAGTGTGCACAGCACTGCGCGTTGCTCGGTCACCTGATAACCGAAGTTGGAGACAATAAAATAAATATGAGTTCGCGTCCCGCTGTCCAAGGTGGTCTTTTAATTCTGGTATTAATCCCTCACCCACCCAAGTTGACCCGTGAAAATCCCCGTATAACCCAAAATACGAGGTAGAGAGAGAACAAAAAAAAACAACATTATTTTGTTATTATTATCTGGAAAGCTATACTCAAATATAATAAAGCTAAAAATCAAATAATGATATACAATTCCACAAACAATGCTGTTTAGATTAGATCATTAAAATGTTTAAGCACCGTACTATATCTGAAAATAATCAGTTTGACTTAACTGCAAGACTTACAAGACTCTTGCAGCTCTTGCGCAAGACTTGGGGGTCTGGTCTTGGTCTTGGTCTTGCAACAATTTTTGTGGTCTTGGTGTTGGTCTTGCGAAAGTTTAAGACCAAGATCAAGCTCAATTTTGGGCAACACTAATTATGTTTATAATCATAAATATTTTACTTGACTGATTAAATAATATGGCCTATAATTTGCTTAATTTTAAGTGTTACTTAACAAATCTGCTTTATACAGTTCCAAAATGAAGTGATAGTAAATTAACTTAGACATAAGTCATTTACTAATGATTTTAACTGAGGATTAAATTTTTGAAACAATATTGTATATCACATATTTAAATAAAATTACGGGGGAGTGAGGAAACAAGTTAGCCCAACTCTGATGTGTAAGAATGGATTTTACTCTTTTGGTCTGTCGTTTATATCGGGTAGATCGGAAGGAAACTAAAAAAAGCTAATAAAAGGACATTTAGGCAATGCATCCCATTTCAAGGACCATTTAGAAAT